TTCTTTCTTTCTTTCTTTCTTTCTTTCTTTCTCTTTCTTTCCCTCTTTCTTTCTTTTCTTTTCTTTCCTTTCCTTTTTTATTCTTTCTTTCTTTCTTTCTTTCTTTCTTTCTTTCTTTCTTTCTTTCTTTCTTTCTTTCTTTCTTTCTTTCTTTCTTTCTCTTTCCTCTTTCCTTCCTTCACTTCCTACCTACCTTCGTCCTTTCAAAGGGAACTATGGAAAATAAGTTTTCTTTTTTTTTTTTTTAAAAAAAGAAACTCTTCCAACTGAACCAAACAATCTCCGCTGCTTCTTCTTCTTCTTCTTCTTCTTCTTTTAACCGAAAGAAAGAAGGGAGGGGAAAGGAAGAACGGAACGAGTCCCGCCTGCTGGTCGCAGCCCGAGACCTCCGTGCTTTCAATGCTTCCCTCTTTGGGTCTCTTCCAGCCTGCGAGACGGGCGCCTGGGGTCCGGATTGCGCCCACCCCTGCAACTGCCCCGGGGCTGAAGCGGGATGCGACGCGGTGACAGGGCAGTGCCTGTGCGAAGCTGGTTACGTCGGCCTGCGCTGCGATCGGAGTGAGTCCCCTCCTTCGTGGCCCCAAGTCGCTTTGGGTCTGGGGGTACCCTTAGCTGGGGGGGGGGGGGGGGGGTTTCCACAGTTCCCCGGGGGGGAGAATATGTTTTTGGGTTTTTTTTTTTTTTGAGAAGATGGAGGGGGTCAATTCCTCAGCTTACGAGCAGAATTCGGCACTCTGATTTTTTTTTAAAAAAAATAACCTTCTTTCCTTTCTCTCTTTTGATGTCGCCCTTCCTCCCTCTCCGTTATCGCTTTCCCTTCCTTGCTTCCTTCCCTCCCTGCCTCGCTTCCGTTTTCATGCTTCTGCGTTTTCCTCCTCTTTTTCACTCCCTTCTTCCTTCCTTCCTCCTGTTCTCTTGACCTCTCGCCTTTGTCCCCACTTGCTTTCAATTTCACTCTCTCTCTTTCCTTCCTTTCCTCCCTCCCTTGCTCATGCCTACTTTCACTTTCACCCCCTTCTTTTCTCTCTCCTTTGCTCCTGCTTACTTTCACTTTCACTTTCACCCTTCCCCTCCTTTCCTGCCTCTTGTTCATGCTTACTTTCACTTTCACTTCCCTCCCTTTTCGTTCTCACCTTTGCTCCCTCTTACTTTCACTTTCACTTGTCTTTCACTCTTATTCATGCTTCTTTTCCCTTATCCCTTCTTCCTCTCTCTCTCTCTCTCTCTCTCTCTCTCTCTCTCTCTCTCTCTCTCGTCTCTTTTCCTGCTCCCACTTTCACTTTCGCTTGCCTTCCTTCCCCGTTTATTCCTGTTCTTCCCTCCCCCCACCTCCCCCGCCAAGAATGTCCCGAAGGCTGGTTTGGTCCCAACTGCCACCAAAGATGCCAGTGCCGTCACCAAGGCGCCTGCGATCACGTCAGCGGCGCCTGCACCTGCGCCCCAGGCTGGAGAGGCACATTTTGCGAGCGGGGTAAGTGCCCCCCCCCCTCCCCCTCCCCCACTCCCTTCTCTGGCAAGGCTGGAAGCAGCTTTGACTCTTCCCACCCCGCTGCCCTGGCGCTAAAGATCGCCCGGTTCTCTCTTCTCAGCTTGTCCTGATGGCTTTTACGGGGTGGACTGCCAGCATGCCTGCCGCTGCCTCCACGGAGCCCGCTGCGATCCCGTGACGGGCCGTTGCCGCTGTGCTGCAGGCTGGATCGGGCCCCACTGCAACCAGAGTGGGTCTCCTGGTGGGCGGGCATGAAAATATGGCACCTCCCTTGGCTGCCCGGATCCAAACGCAGTCTCTCTCTCTCTCTCTCTCATACATCTCTCGCTCTTTCTCTCTCTCCCCCTTTCTCTCTCTCATCTCTCTCTCATCTCTCATCTCTCTCTTTCTCTCTCTCTCTCTCTCTCTCTCTCTCATCTCTCATCTCTCTCTCTCTCTCTCTCTCCAGCTTGCCCAGTTCACCGCTATGGCGAAAACTGCAGCCAGGAGTGTCCCTGCACCAACGGAGCCTCATGCCACCCAGTCACGGGGCAATGCCTCTGCGCACCAGGCTGGGTTGGTGCTGCGTGCCAGCAAGGTACTTCGTGTGGGGCTCCTTGGCGCTGTTGGAGCTTAGGGGTTTCCTTGCAGTCGTTTCATGACCCAACTAGGGAACATCAGCAGTGTTAGAAAAGAATGGGCCAGAAATGGTTGCATTCGGATCTCAGTGCAGTCCATTTTTCCCAATTTCTCCACCACCACCTCCTCCTCCTCCTCCTCCTCTTCCTCCTCCTCCTCTTCTTCTTCTTCTTCTTCTTCCTTCCTACCTTTGCAGGGTGTCCCCCGGGATTTTACGGATCCAGCTGCCAGCAGGAATGTCTCTGCCAACAGGGAGGAACCTGCGATCCGGTTTCTGGCCACTGCACCTGTCCGGAAGGGTGGTTTGGACTGGCATGTGAGCTGGGTAAGAAAAAAGGCCGTTTGGGCATTTAATTCCCAACGGGCTAGACTAGAAGACCTCCAAGGTCCCTTCCAGCTCTATTCTGTTCTGATTCTCCCCTCCTTGCTCCCTTCTGGATGAATAAAAGGCTCACTGAGAACCTTAGGAGTTGGGATGGAAGGGGAGCCTTAAGGTCATGTAGTCTGACCCCTCCCAGTTGAGGACTCGGTGTATATCTTTTTCTTTAGAATGTGTCGAAGGTAAATATGGGCCAGGCTGCCAGAAAAGTTGCCGTTGCGTTAATGGAGGCCGGTGTGACCAGAAGAGTGGAAAATGCCTTTGCCGTGACGGTTGGACCGGTGAAAAGTGCCAGAAAAGTAAGTCATAATGGCACCGGGTCTTTTTTTTTTTTTTAAATTTCTTGGTGGCCGGCGGGAGATCGATCAGTACAGATAATTCTCTTTTTAAAAAAAAAAAAAAAATCTTTAAAATATTTTTTTTATTTTTAAAAAAATATTTTTAAGATTTAATATATTTAATATTTGTTACAAATGCCTAGCTTTTTGTTTTAAAACCTCGCACAATATTTAGCGGTAGTATATAAATATAGAAATGCTTATTTTTTTAAACTGTTCCTTCTCTCTCTCTCTCTCTCTCTCTCTCCCCCCCCCCCTCGCCCCCCCCCGCCGGGCCCGTCCCACCGGCAAGGCCCTCTTTTTCTGTCGTCACCTTTCTCGCAACGGCTTCCACGCCACCCGGGCGGACAGTTGCATGACCCCGTGATGGGGTCATGCAACTGTCCGCCCGGGTGGCGTGGAAGCCGTTGCGAGAAAGGTGACGACAGAAAAAGAGGATGGTTCCTGTGTGAACAACCCATCGGGGTGGGGAGAGGGAGGGGGGGTTCGTGACCAGCCCCAGATCCAGAGGTGGGTATTCAGCCGGGCCGGACCGGTTCTGGAGAACCAGTAGTGGAGATTTGGAGTAGTTCGGAGAAAGGAGCCTGAAATGAGTGTGAATGAATGAACGAACGAATGAATGGACTAATGCGTGAATACACGAATGATTGAATGTTTCAATGTTTGAATGCATGCATGCACGAATGAACGAAAGAAC